GGCCTACTGTGTGTCAGGTCCCGTGGTGTTTGCTTCATTTTCCCGGGGTTGGTGTTGCCCTGGGAACGCTGTCTCCTGCGGATGAGCAAACAAAGCTGCCATCCCCGCAGTCGGAGTGGAGAGCCATGACAATCAGCCAGGCCTGGGTTACACAGTGAGACTCTGAATAAACAAAACTCTGAGCCCAGAGCTACAGGCATGGGAAGGAACTGAAATCCTCTGACTTCTAACCTGTGTTCTTGGTTTTTGTTTGTTTAGAAAACAATGGCTGTTGGGCCTTGCAGGTGCTTGGTAAGCATTCTGCCACTGAATCATATCCCTAGCTCCCGATTTCCTTCTTGTGCCATCATAGAGTCACCCACCTGTATGCCAACAGGACAGGGAACGCCATTTAGGTTGCTTTAATGACTGTCACTTTTTTTGTTTTTTTGAGACAGTGTTTCTCTGTGAAACAGCTCTGGCTGTCCTGGAATTCACTCTGTAGACTATGCTGGCCTCAAACCCACAAAGACCCACCTGCCTCTGCCTCCTGAGTGCTGGGATTAAAGGCACTGCACCGCCACGGCCCAGCATGACCATCACTTTCGTTAGCAGACCCTGGCCGTTTTGTCTGCACTTCTCAATCTCGGCAGTCTTCCTTTCAACGGAGGCTGGCGTCCTACCAAGGAAGATGGAAAGATCAGGAGCCCGTGGACCCCCACAGTCCTGCTAACTTGGACTTCCTCTGCTCCTGGGCAGCCTCTGTATCTATGTCTCCTGACCCTGTACACTGTCAAGTACAGTCTCCCCTCTAGTCTCAGAGTGAGAGTGACAGACAGCTCAGTAGCTGCCTGACCCATTAAATTGGTAGCTCCACTCCCGGATCTGACTGTGGGCCTCCCTTGGCCTACACACCATGCTATGGTGGCTCTCAGGTGGAAGGGCAATGGCTGTCACCCTTCTTCCCTTGTCTCTGAGCTCTGAGATGTTAAGTCTGGGGATCTAGTGATCTTGCTCTCTTTGTTCTTTTCTGGTCTTGGACTTGAGTTTTCTACTAAAAAAACAAAACAGGTAGTTCTACCTTGACCCACCTGCAAGAGAATTGTGCTGCACGTGATTCCCAGACACCCCCAGCAGAAAGCTGTCTGGGACTCATCCCATCATCCCAGCCCTCGGGTCCACCTGCACCATCCCTTCCATTCCAGGGATACGTGTCTGAGTGTGAATGTGTGTTTGAGTGTGAATACGTGTTTGAGTGTGAATGTGTGTTTGAGTGTGAATCATGTTGATGCTGGTAACTGTGACAAAGACAGTGGTGGAGATGTGAGGGGGTTCTTTCCTCTCTTTCTTTCCTTTCTTTTTCTCTCTTTCTTTCTGAGACAGGAACTCGCTCTGTAGACCAGACTGGTCTCAAACTCACAGTGATCCGCCTGCCTCTGCCTCCTGAGTGCTGGGATTAAAGGTGTGCGCCACCACAGTCGGACTGTGAAGGGGTTCTTTTAGCCCTTGAGTGGTCACCATAGAGTAAGATCTCTGTAGGGAAAGAGACCAGCTGACCATTATTGTCTTCTGCATGTTCAGCCAAGCTGGCCTCGAACTCTCTGCATAGCCAAGAATGACTTTGAATTTGCAATTCTACCTGTACATCCTGAGTGCTGGGATTACAGGTGTGACCCACCACACTTGCTTTTACATGGTGCTGGGATTGAGCCTGGACTTCGTGCGTCGCAGACAAGCATTTTTCCAGCTGAGGACATGGCCACAACCTCCTCCCCTCCCCGCAATTCTTTAATAGTAGCTGTGATTTATTGAGTGTTACCCAGTAAGCAAGTAACACGCCAAACACTGTATGTGTAATAATTCATATATCTTCCCAACAACCCCATGAAGTAAGTATTCATATTTTAAAGAAATGTTGCTGAGGATGGAGAGGTTAAGTACCTTAGTTACTCAAGGTCATACCGCTGGCCCCAACCTAAGGCCAGTCTCACTCCCGCCCGCCCTTTGTGTCTGTTTTCCCAGCAGAGTTGTATCCACAGCGGCTGGGAGCTGACAGGTAAGGGGCGGGACCAGCGGGACTTCAGAGGGTTCCACTGTCTTGAGATTTCTAGGCCACAGCAACGCAATTCTTTCTCCCTGGGCACCAGGCGTCTCGGCTCTCATGGGGAGGTGGCATAGTGGATCTGGGAAGGAGGGCTGGGTTCCACAGTAGGACGAGGGTTGGCTGAAGCCAGCTCACCCCCAGCTCAAGCCTGGGGCTCCCGCCCTTGGGAGCTCCATCTTGCTGCCTCCCTCCCTCTCAGGATCTCATTATATCCCTAAGAGAAACTGACAGCCTCAATATCTTACTTTGCAAATATAGTTTATTCCTCCAATAAAGCCGCCTGCGCAGGGGAATGTTTAAGCCCGGGTCTCCCCCGAGAGCCTCATTTGAATTTCTAAAGTCTTTAGTCGGCTCCTCCAATGGGGCAGCTGGGTAATGAAAACGCAGCAGCCGCTTAGAGGGGATTCATTTCCTGTCTGGGTCTCTGCTGCCTGAGGAGAGTTGGACTGACCGGAGGGAGAACTGCTACGTACTCGGAGGTCGTGGCACGGGCCTGAGCACCCAGCCCACCGGGTGGAGGCCCTGGATCATGCCCACACAGACGGGTGTGTGTATTCCATGGTGGGTGGGGACAGGCAGGGGTTCAGTCTCCAACACTCCTCGCCCAGGTCTTTCCTGGTAGGTAGGCTCTGCTCAGGGACCCTCAGCCCATGAGTCCCTCCATGGGTTCTCCCTTTTGGAGGGTCCCTCCATGGAGACATCCCAGGGGCCCCCCACAGAGTCCCCATCCTGGGACACTTTAGACAGCATTTCTCAGACCAGGATGTTTCTTTCCCCAGAGGCCAAACCCACCAAATCCCTGGAGATAAGGTCCCCTCTCTAGTTGGACCCCCTCACTCTAGGGCAGCCCCTATCCCAGGCCCCCTGGGAGTCTCTAATTAAAGGGCCGGCACGCCCCTCTGGGACTCATTAGGCCCGCTGTGCAGAGAACATTTAATCATTGCACAGAGCATCGATTGGAAAATCAATTTCTTTGTCTCTCCGCACGAGGCGCGCTGGAGAAGTGGGGGGAGCACTGACCTCCTTCTGCTGCCGTGTAAAGCGCTGCACATTTAATCAGGGAACAGAAATCAATTAGCCACTTACGAGGTTGGCTTTAGTTACCGAGTCGGCAGGGCCCGCGCCACAGCTCAGCCGCTGACAGTAGCGGATCTCCGCGCCAGCCCTGCTGCAAGGCTCTGTCTCCCTGCATCTCTCTGGGTTCCTTCTTTCCAGAGTGCTCTGGGTTCTCATCATTTAGGCAGATGCTCACATAACTCCCCCAAACAAGCCCTGAGAAGCCTCTCCAGTGCTCAGTCTCCCTCTGTCACCTTCCTCTGCTCGGCTCTACCCATTCCAAGAAGTCACATGGAGATCCACATCTTAGCTCTGCCCATCTGGGCTCCATGATGTCAGGGAAGTAATTGTCAACCCGAGTGTCATACCTCAGGCCCACTTTAACAGTGCCTGCCTCTCCGGAGTGCTCTGGGAATCCAATGAGATCATCTTTGGGAAGTGCCTACTAAGTAGTTTGAATCCATCCACTAAAGAACTTTGAACTCACAGTAGGGGACCAGTGTCCTTCCCGCAGAAAAGGGTGGATGTGAGCTGAGACCCTCCAGCCACAGGTCTCTCTTTGCTTCCAAGACAAGGACAGGTGGGCACATGACTCCCTTCCACCATCTCCATTTTCCCTTTGTCTTCTGGGGGTCCCCTTGGAATCAACTGGGGCTCTGTCCCCTCACTCACAGCCACACCCTCCTGACCGATCGCTGGCCTGCGATTTTGTCCCCCTACCCCCAGCTCCAGAGGTACAGGCATTCCATTCATGCCTCATGTACTCAAGTTACACACACCCAATTACACAGTTGTACACAGACTGCACGCCCCATTACACATGGCTTCACAGAGCTGTCCCTACGTTAAAATCCCAGGCATCCGATGCCCACATGCAGCAGTCCTTATCCCAGCAGGATCCGGGAACGCTTGTCACACACACAGGCCCACCTGGGTCCCACCGCCACACAGTGTGGCCCACTGCTGGTACAAGCACCCTCCCACACGCGCGTAGCCACGCAGGCTGGCGCACACCCGTTCCATAATAATATTAGACATGCCATTTCTTTTGCATGACAGTTCCAGTGGAAATGCTCAGAGCTGTCACTTGGATGAAAAATAATGCATAATCCTCATCTTCCTTCCTTCCCTTTCCTTCTTTCTTCCCTGTTTAATGAGCTCCTAAAAATATTCCTTGCTGTCTCGCCGAGGATGTGGGCTAAGTGTGAGTCAGGTCTTTCTTCCCTCTCCCCGTCCTCCACTGCCTCCCTCAGCCCCCTGAGTGGCAAGGAGGATGAAGGGTCACAGTGAACTGCCATGCTTGACCAAACCCAGCTCTGGTAGAAGGCCTGCCACCCGGGCCTTCTGATGATTTCTGAGTTCTGGCCTTTCTTGACTGGCCCACCTGAACTGGAGGTGAGGACCAAGTGAGACATGGGTGGGAACAAGCAGGAAGGCAACAGCCCCTCAGTCCCCACACCACATCAATTAGCATCTGGCCCGTTTCACAGGACTAGCCCAGCCCATCATCCCTCTGTCTCAGGAGGGAACCGCCTCCATGGAGGCACCACCCCCTTCTCCACCTCCTGGCATTCCTGCTCCATCCTCCCAGAACTCAGAGGACAGAGACCTGGGACACTCAGGGTATCTCTGAGCCCCCAGTGTTTTCCAGCACCTTCCCTTGCCCTTACTGGGAAAGTCACAACAGCCACATTTTCCTCTCTTCATCCTTTAAAGCCCAGACCGACGTCACCTCTTCCCTGAAGCCTTCCTGATTGATCCCTATACAGTTGGTAGACACTGGTAATGTGTTTACTGGGGAAAGGTAATCGTGGGTACCTCGTCTCTCTGAGGGACTTCCTACCGTGTTTTGTTTCCTTAGTCATTCTCACCAGACACCAGTTCAAAGTTCTCGCCACTGCAGGCTGGGACCCAGCCTTGTCCACCCAGCTCTGGCTGAATGAAAGCTTGTGTCTCTAGAGTAACAGGACAGTGGATGGGTGAGTAGGTGCATGGAGGGAGGGGTGGATGGGAGGTGGTAGGGGGGAAGCTCGGGGGCCTGAGTCAGGGACCCGACTGCTCACACAGGTTCTACCAAAATTCACTATGATTTGGGGGGATGTGAGGTCCTCTCTTAACCTCAGTTTCTCCATTTATAAAATGGGAGAACAGTGTCAGGTGTCGTCTGTGACCTCATGCAGCTCTGACAATCCTTACTCGGTAACATGGCATATTGTCAGAGTAGAAGTGTGTAGCTTTTAGCATGCTCTATCCTACTGCGTGCAGGAAGCCCCAGGTGCTGGGATGTATGGTTCGGTTGGCCTTTCCTAACAGAACATCTCTTCTACACTGCCTTCCTTCTGGTTTCCTTACCCTACTTCTGGGCTTCCCGTCCATCCTCTGTCCCCTACTGTTTTCTCGGGGCTGCATCCTGCCCACTGGTCCCCTGTAGTCGGTTCCCTCCACCTGCTTTGCTTGCCTCCCTCCCCAGCCCACCTGCTGCTGGAGCCCCCTCCCCGTGCACCTCCCCAGCTCTTCCCAGCAGCTCCAGTCCCGAAAGGTTAAGCTAATAGCAACTCCTTTCTCATCAGCTGCTCTTGTTTGCTCTACATAATTGCCGTTGCGGGGGGGGGGCCCTTTGAGTGGGGGCAAGTGTATAGGGCGGGGGTTGTGCAGGCTTGTCAGTGGGAAGGGGGACACGGAAAGGGAACACTTGCAGAACGGGGATGGAGGACTGTGTGGGAGCTGAGTGTATTGAATTAGACAGCTGTGGTATAGGAGTCACCTGAAGAGGGAGGAATGGAGTCTGAAGAAGGACTGTCGGAGACAGCACCACTCCTGGGAAGAACAAACCACCAGCAAGGACGACATGTCAGTATTTATCAAGTATGGATGGTAAGCCAAGTGCTTGGCTGGCTGTATCTCATTGGATGCTTGCACGGATCTCAGGAAGCACATTCCACCTTCATGCCTAATATGCACACTTTTTCTTGTGCCCATTTTACAGGTGACAAAGGCTCCAGGAGGAAGAATTGTTACTGAGGCCACACACTGCTAAATGGCAGAGCCTCAGGGATTATGAACATGTGCCGCCACAGCCATCTAAGACAATGATGGTGATGCTTCCCCCTTCTCTTCTTTTTGAGACAGTCTTAACATATAGCCCCAGCTGGACAGAAACTCAGTATGTAGACTGGGCTGGATTTGAATCCATAGAGATCTGCCTGCTTCTGTCTTCTTAGAGCTTGAATTAAAGTTGTGCGCCACCATGCCTGCCCACCTTCTTTTTTTAAACTTATTTTTATTTTATGTTCATTGGTGTTTTGCCTGCATGTATGTCTGTGTGAGGGTGTTGGGTCCCTGGTACTGGAGCTGCAGACAGTTGTGAGCTGCCATATGAGTGCTGGGAACTGAACCCAGTTCTCTGGAAGAACAGTCAATGCTCTTAGCTGCTGAGCCATCTCTCCAGCCCAAAACTTGACATTTCTTTTTTTATTATGTATATAGTGTTATGTCTGCATATATGCCTGCAGGCCAAATGAGGAAACCAGATCTCATTACAGATGGTTGTGAGCCACCATGTACCCACCTTTTTTTTTTTTTTTTTTTTTTGGATTTTTCGAGACAGGGTTTCTCTGTGGCTTTGGAGGCTGTCCTGGAACTTGCTCTTATAGACCAGGCTGGTCTCGAACTCACAGAGATCCGCCTGCCTCTGCCTCCCAAGTGCTGTGATTAAAGGCGTGCGCCACCAACCCCCGGCATACCCACCTTCTTTTAAAGATAGGTCTCATGCATCACAGACTGCTCTCTACCTGGCTATGTAGCCAAGGATGGCCTTGAACTCCAGATCCTCCTGTTTAGAGACACCACCAGGCCCAGCTGGACAGTGCTGTTAGTCATGCCTTCTGCTTGGAGAGTGGGGCTTGCAGGACCCTGGGAGGCAATTAAGTTGGACGCAATCCACGTCCAGAGTGGCAGAAGGAAATGGGCTTGTCCAAAGTCATACAGGAAATAGTTATCATGACTATGTTTAGATCCATGTGTGATGCTGAAGCAATTGCTCATCTTCCGGGTCTTGGTCACCTTAGGGACTCCTACAGTTGGGACGCCAGGGTGAGGGGTGGTGACACAGACAAGGCGTACCTCCCAGGAGGCAGAGGGTGGAGCTAGAGTGGCATGATGGGCATGGCTGAGGAGAGGCACACCTGGAGGGGTCCACTCTGTCAGGAGCAGCAGCCTTGGCCTCCTTCTGGGTTGAGAACTCTTAATAATTCATCAGGGACAGAGCAGCACACACCAGAATGTTAGAGGTTTAGAAGCCAGTGTGCCAGCTTCTCACCCGTCTCAGCTGTGGCTCTGAGGCTACTCTGGCCTCCACATTCTGTCACCCAGCTCAGGGTCTCCCAATGCATCTCCCATCAGGACACCTTCCCTTTCCGCCCAAGCAAAGGTCGCTAAGGTCCGGTGCTGCCTCTGTCTTTAGACTTGAGGGCTCCCTGAGGCAAGGTCCTTTTTACAGTGGGGCTCCTGGAAGAGCAATGGATCCCTCCATCAAGCTGGACAATTATCTAAGGCACAAACAGTGCCTCCTCTACCAGACTGTGCCTTCTGGTCAGTGCCCCTGTGCATTGACTGTCACAGAAGCTTTGGAATTGGCTCCATCCTGAACCAACATCATAATCCCAACACTGCCCCAGCTTGCAGCACTGGATTGGCCCGTCTCTCCTTGTCTCCCGCCTACCTGTGGGACTTTGCGACTTTCCTTAACTGGAGTCAGTGCTGCCCAAGTAGACTCCTTTCCCTCTGCCTGCCTGGGTCCTTATCACCCACCACGGCAGGCAGCAGCTATCCCTCTGCCCTTCATGGTCAGCATGCTCACACCTCTAGGGGGATAAGATCATTGTCACCATTCACACCATGAATAAGGTCTCTGTGACAATATAAGGAAAGGCATGGTGGGAGTGGGTGACCCAGAGGCCACCTTTCTCAAGAAGGGACTTCTCAGCTTCACTTTGACAATTCCAGTTCAGGTCCTTTTCTATTAGTTGAAGAGGGAAGTGGTCTCTTTTTTGGAGAATGACCAGCTCTCTACAGAAACTGTCCCCATGGGAAGCGAGAATACCCTGTGATGTTCATGAGCGCATGTAGCTTGCCCAGGGCTAGGATGCTGCATTCAAGAACTACGGCTCATTGCCTGTCGTGGGCCCCCATAGCCTCACAGCTGCAGGTCATTACATACTTGGGTATATGTCCCCACCCCCCACAAGCCCTATAGGGAGCAGCTGTGAAAGTCCAAGTGAGCAGACATCTCATTGGTATTCCGAGTAGCCAAGCCACGCCACGACTTTCTCTGAGAGACCCCCATCCTCTCCCTCAGCTCCACCTTTCAAAAGTTGTCAGAGGAACATCAATAGCGGGAATCGATTCATCAATGAGCATCTTGGCCTCTCGCAGCCCCCACCCTTGTGGAGTTTCACTGCATCTCTAAGGACTCCACCCCATGCTCCAACAAATCACTTGTTTTGTTTTGTTTTTGGAGGCAGGATCTTAGTATCCTGGCCTGTCTTCAAACATCTTGTGTAACAGAGGACGACCTTCAACTTCTGATCCTGCTGCCTCCACCTCCTGAGTGCTGGGATTACAGGTGTGTGCCACCATTCCTGGCTTTACAGAGTGCTGGGGACTTAACCCAGGACTTCATGCATGCCAGTCAAGCACTGTACCAACTGAGATACACCCACACCTCACTTGTAGAACCTGGCCTTGCCATCCTCCCTGACAGGCCCCAGGAGGCCAAGCCCTTTCCACTCACAGGATCTTTGCCTGAGCAAAGCAAGTTGCATGGTTTGGGGCTGATCATGGAGTAGAGCCAGGAACCTGGGACACTGTAGTTTGAGCCTTATGAGACACCACACAATACAAGAGGAGGTGCTATGCCTTAGGGATGTGGGGGAGGAATCACGTGCTTTACAACATCTAGACAGAGCCTAACATTCAACATCTACCTCTACCACTGACTATATATCACCTTTTGACTTACCTTAACTCCCAACAATAGCAACCCATGCTCAACCAACTATGGAATGTCTACTCGACTCTCATCACTAATCAACTACTCCAGATGGCCCAACACCAACATGTTAATACAATAACTCAATAGATCTCAATAGTGGCCTCCCAACACCAAATGCCCAGCATGACTAGCCACTCCAGCCCCCGATAATGACTTTTATTAAGAACCTCCAAGACTGGGCGTTGGTGGCCCACGCCTTTAATCCCAGCACTCGGGAGGCAGAGGCATTCGGATCTCTGTGAGTTTGAGGCCAGCCTGGTCTACAGAGCGAGTTCCAGGACAGCCTCCAAAACAATACAGAGAAACCCTGTCTCAAAAAACAAACAACAAACAAAAAAAGAACCTCCAAAATTGACATCTCAAATTAACCAAGGCTGGTAATTTTCCACAGGTCTATCAAGGGCCCCTAGTCCCTGACCCTCATCCATTACTGTCATTGAAACATTCAGACGCCTGCTGGTGCCTGCCAGATTTACCTGGCTCTGACTGGAACTAGCCTGAACTTCCTTCCGCTTCTTGGACTTGGCCAGTTGGCCAGCAGTGGAGCTGTCAGGTCTCTAGTCCAGCCCCTCCCTCTCCACTGACCCAGCCCTGACTTCCGTGTCAGACAGCAATGAACCGGGGACAGGATTGACCTGGGAAGACATCCCTTGTTTTCCTGAGTTATGCTCCAGCTTTCCCTCACCCCAGGAAGGATGCTAGCTGCTGAAAGTGATAGTTCATGGGGAGTTATGATTCTGGGATGGGAACACCCCGAGATCACCACATTCAATGTGCCCAATTACAACTGGGAGAAAGACACAGGGCTCACGGAAAGAAGAAAGGTTCTGGGAAGGAAGCAGGGGATGGATGAGACCCGTGAGGGCAGGGAAGAGCCAGTGAGGGGCCTGGACATGGGGAGGAGGGAGGAGGAAGCCTCTAAGAAACTGTGGGCAAAAGGGAGGATGAGAGTGGAAAGGGGTGTAACACTCAGTGTGGCGTCCTGCGGGTGCTCCCCATCTCTCCCCACCCCTCCTGGGACCCTTGCTCAATGGAAAGCTCCATGGAGACCCAAGCAGAGCAATAGCTCAGGATCCCCCTTCATCAGGAACTCGGAACCAGGACCATTAATTAGATGAGGGAGCAGCTGCTCTGGGCCCAGCGGCCAAATGACAGGAAATCAGTCTGTTCCTGGAAATGCTGGCCTGGCCCTGTTTGCAGGTTTGGGAGACTGACTGCCCTCTCCTCCTTGGGGTCTGTCCAGGGAGCTACATATGTCAACTGAGATGCCCTGCCCACTGCCAACCATTGGCCAGGCCCAGGAGAATCCCATATGGTGAGAGGGCACTGGCCTCTGGAATACTGTAGTCATATTAGGTCAATGTCCCAAGCTTCAGCTTCTCTCTCAATGAGGAGGCTCAGATTCCCACGGGGGCAGTCTCTGGTGTCCTCCTCCTTCCTCTCACAGGTACGACCACAGGGACCCCTGTAAGTTGCCCAGAACCTGGTGGTGGTTGTTGTTGTTGTTGTTGTTGTTGTTGTTGTTGTTGTTGTTGTTCTTCTTCTTCTTCTTCTTCTTCTTCTTCTTCTTCTTCTTCTCCTCCTCCTCCTCCTCTTCCTCCTCCTCTCTTCTTCTTCTCCTTCTTCTCCTTCTCCTTCTCCTTCTTCTTCTTCTTCTTCTCCTTCTTCTCCTTCTCTCCTTTAAGACAGGGTTTTCTGTGTGGCTGTCCTAGAACTCATTCTGTAGACCAGGCTGTATCAAACTCAGAGATCAGCTAGGTGTTGGTGGCGCACACCTTTAATCCCAGCACTTGGGAGGCAGAGGCAGGTGGATCTCTGTGAGTTCGAAGCCAGCCTGGTCTACAGAGCGAGAGTTCCAGGACAGCCTCCAAAATAATACAGAGAAACACTGTCTCGAAAAACCAAAAACCAAACTCAGAGATCAGCCCATCTCTGCTCCCCAAGTGCTGGGATCAAAGACATGCACCACCAACGCTCAGTCCCACTGCCCCCTGCGTGCTTTTTCTTCTTCTTCTGGGTTCTAACTGTACCCTGGGGACCCAGGGCGAGTCATCACCAGCCCCCTGGATAGGATCCTCACACAATATGTAGTGGGGGGGGGGAGAGTAGGGCCTGGAAAGCTGCCTGGAATCCTTTCATTCAGCTATTTCCAGGTAATGGAGCAGAAACTAAAGCAA